CCACTGCTTTGCATTAATTCCTACACAATTTTGCATGGGAGGAAACTTTCAGACTCCATGGTCGCTGATTTTTGCCCCCCCCCCCAACCGTTATTCACTTCCGACGTCGCTGAAGGGGCGGACGACTTTTGAGAATCATCAGGAATAGAAAAATGATTATGACAATTAGTTGGTGGTTAACGTATAGATATTGCGTTTTGGATATAGAGTAATGGTATTTAATAAAGAAGCTACATAATTAATTGGTTTGTGTCGATACCGGTACACGCATGCTTGCGTGGTATACAAGTAAGTCTCTGGTGGTGGTTTGCTCGGTATAGTAAGTGGATAGGAATACGAATACTTACTAAATGTACCTACTTCTCATCTTCATAAAACTTTTTTAGTGTAATAATTTGAGTAGGTACAATGGAGATGCCACAGTATTCATTGCGTGACCAATACCATCAGCGTCAATCTTAGTAACAGAACTATAGGTAACTTTTAAACTTTCATGTTTCGCCAATGATAAAATGTATGCAGCAATGCGGTGGGTTGTGATCGCGATGCAGAATATTTCCAAGTTGCACAAACAAATATATCCCACAAATGACTAAAAGCTTTCAATTTATATTCAAAACAGCGTATACTGGACACTGGTTAACTTTTTATACATTTTTTGCATTCCAGGATCGCATAATGGACATAATGCAAGTTAGGTATATGCTTTCCTTCTAATAGAAGACCTATGTCAAAATTCATAGAATCGTTGAATAAAAAATTCAGTGATGCCTATACCTACATATAAATATCGATAGTTCTCAAAACAATCTATATGTATACTTAAACATTTAACGCTCGAACTTTTTCTTATAGTGCATTCGACCGGAATACGATTTTATCATTGCAAGCAAAGATGTGGGTTTGTTATTAAAGCTATTTAAACTGAAAACTGGCGCCTTCACGCCAATAAGAAAAGGATAACCGAAATGACACACCGAATGTCTCCTGTCACAATCAACGCCTGAACTAATAATATACAATTTAGTAAAGTGTCTTCATTAACTCCTGTTTTGACAAGTTTATTTTTAGTGCTTTTTAAATGTGATTTCTAGCGATCTTAATTGCATTTCGAGCTGTTTAGTTTACACCTTGTGTCCCCACACACTAAAATTCACATATTTAAGGAAGCAGAACCAAATATAGCTTTCATAATGTAATTTTAACTGTTTTCAAATAATATATTTAGATTAGATGAATATACAGGCTGTTTCACGCAAACCGTTACCTATAAGAATTCAGGCTTTCATTGATAAAATTAAATCTGAAAATTCGCATACGAACATAAGTAGTTTTTTTTATCTATTGAAAGAAAATATTACCTATCATGATCATTTCACTTCCGGTTCCGGATGTGGATAGCAACGTTTTTATTTTAAACAGAACACCGTATTTTATTGCATTTTGGAAATCTAATCTACATAATAATCTACGCCGTTTGATACCATATTTCCCTATACCCAGCATCAAAGCTTTTCAAGTTATTGAAGATTGACAGCTATTCTTTAGACCTATATGACTCCGTTGGTTTGAATTTCAAAAAGTATTCCACAGTTGACAATACTGACTTGATGCTGTGTGACAATGATTTAAATTTCACCCCAGACTGCGCAATGTCAACTTCCTTATTTATTAATATATTTTGTTGAAAATTTAACCACAGATACTTCTGGTGAAGGCAAATATATCGCATATAGTAAAAATCAGTTGTGCGCATGGCAATTTTCTTATTTATGGAGGTATTTCTTTGAAATTTTACCCAAAGATGCTTTTAGTGTTAGCAAACGTATCGCATATTGTGAACATCAGATTAATGCGCGCATGCGCAAGGATGCGCAATTTTACCTGTTATTTATCGAGATATCTTTTTGAAATTTTAACCCTAGTAAACTACAAATGTACTTAATTACAAAAGCAAACATAGCGCACATAATAAAAATCAAATCCACGCATGCGCAGACTGCAAAATGCCAACTTTTTTACTTGTCAAAATCTCTCTCTAAAGATGAACCATAAACGCTTCTAGTAAAAACAAACATCGCATACCTTTAGCATAAATTAAATGTGCTCATGCGCGAACTGCGCAACGCCAACTTTTTTGTTTATGGAGATATTTCTTTGAAATTTTAACCATATATGCCTCTAGTAAAGAAAATCACAGCGCACATAGGTATGGCCTTTTGAGAAGTACTGATCATTCATGGAAAATGCGCTGAAGTTACTCGGCTTAGGACGAAAACCTTTTCTAAAAGAGTGCGATTTGGGAAACCTAAGATGCGACATGAGGAACTCGTTCCTTAATTTTCCCCACTTATTGCAAGGATTAACAAACTTGCTTAAGAAATATATTCAAAATAATTATACTACTTTTACTTCGGAATAACTGTCTGAAATATTTATGGTTTTTGAATGACGTTTCAACTTTATTTAATATTTTTCTAATGGTTTTGCGAACCACCAGGGACCACCTGTTAACAACCACTGCTGTAGATGGAAAAAAGTGTTGATAATAATGTGTCATTTATTTTGAAATACCTTTTTAAATAACTTCGGCAAAAAATAAAAACAATTTTGCAAAACGTGGTTTTTGGCGATATCTCCGAAAGTAGTCGTAATTTTTTCAGTTTCTAAACGGAAATAAGCATCAAAATACGCGTTTTTTTCAAAATTTAAACAACGTACCTATCTCTTACAGTTTACGAGATCCCAATGGTGGCCCTTGAATCTGAATCAGCCCGACCATCTATAGAGACAACAGTGTGTTCCATGACCGCATGTAAAATAAAATTGGGTGATAGAGGGGATCAAGACAAGCACTTTTTCCAAATAAACCGAGGGTCCAACGTGTCTCGTTTGGGAGCCACCCCCAAAGAAGTAGTGAAATTTGGAATTCTTCTTAAATTTTTTTCTCAGCAACCATAAGAAATAGGTTTTCGGGTATGCCCTATCCGATTTGGAAAAAATTTTTCCAAAATTCTTACCACGAAAGGGCGCACCCCTACCTGTGGGTGCGAAAAAATTTTGGTTTCGACAAAATTTGGTGTCTGGAGGTTTTTGAACATGAAAATCACGAATCTGGAATTAGTTTTTGAAAATTCGAAAGAAAAGTTCCACGAAATTTGGTGTGTAGGTACATACTTCATGAGTTAAGGAACAAAATTGTCGAACAGTTTTTTAAAATTAAAAAAACTTTTGAAACAAAAGTTATATTCATTTGAAAATATTTGCAATATTTTCAATTGTGTAGTACATGCGAAATTAGATCACTCACTAGTACCTATATCTACTTGAGTAGGTATAAGTCCACAAAACTAATATAACTTGAAATAAAACTAGTTTAGGTATAGAATTGCAATGAATATGTATATTAGTGTACTCATTGGTATGGAAAGATAATGTTCCCGATAGGGAATGCAATCCCGCAGCAAAATCTCAATACCGGTATTTGCGGGATCGTTAGATGTTAATCCCGTGGGATCCAGGTATTTGCGGGATCCCGCAAAATTGGCAAATAAGCAATTTTGTGGTTAACCTCTGTATTAAAATAAATCGCTAATTATCACAATGTGCAACAAAAAAGTAGATAGGTACCTTCATCTTAACTTAGAACTCAAAAAAATCACCTGTAAAGCACAAAAGGGTGAACTTCTAAAGTGCCTCAAAATTCATAGTACTTTTTTAAGGAAAAAAGTTTAACAATTATTTTAAAAATAATTTCTCCGTTATGCGTTTCATTAACAAAGCAAGCAGAGTCACCCCCTTGGTCGAGAACTTCCTCAGTCCCGCAAATCCCGCTCCATTTATGTGCGGGATTAATCCCGCAAAAATGCTGCGGGATCCCTTGCAACGTTAAAGGCACTCCGCTTCGCGTCGTGCCATTAAACTCGTTGCGCGGGCTTTAAAGACTTGATTATACACTTGTATCTTAATATACTATTTTACGTGTAGATAGGTAAGCATTTGAGTAGGTTGGGTAAGTGAGAACGGAAGGTATGTATATACCTACCTACCTACTTACTAAGGTGTACCTAAGCATTGAATAAAAGAATTATTAGGTATATTCAATGCTATACCTACTTATAAGCTATATCAGATGTAAAAATAAAGCTTTTATGATACGACACTCAACTGAATTTTGTCTTATAGGTACCTACCTAAAATGCTGTTTTGAAAATATACGATAAAGAAGCGAAAAATAATCACTTCAAGTACCTACGTATATACTTGATACCTACGCCTACCTTTGAAAGTGGTTTACGGATGACGGGCTTTTTTCTATACTCTGCGAATGGGTTTCCAGGGTAGGTAGTGTATAAGAACTAAAAAAATTAATCAAGCAGAATTTCATTCTTAATTACCTACCTATAGTTGACAATTTAGTTGCGTCTGGGGAGTAAACTCAAACATATAAAAGCATAATAGATATAGATGTAAACATAGGTGAAGTACCTTCCTGCTATAAGTATATAAATGTCATAAAAGTTTCTGTAGAATTAAAGGAAGAATTTGAATTTTTCAATCAAACTTATAGCACGCCGTGATAAACAATTAAAATGTATACCTACCTACCTATACTTACTTACATCTAACACATATTTTTGAAAGGCTTAATATTATAAAATAAATACAAAAATATCGTCGTTCGGTATGGATTCATTGAGAGGGGTTTGTTGGAAAGAGAACAGTCGTATAGAGGCCCACTTTATCCATCAGCTTTAGTTAGGTGTATGACACAAAGTTCTCAATTCCAAACGCGACATTTCAAACTGACACCAGAAAAGTAACACCCACAGAAGCTCCGGGGATATCGGGGATTCCACTAAATACGCTACCATTGGCCGCCAGACAAAGCAGTAACCGTGGCAACAAGCTTTGAATAAACCAATGAACGCGAGGGGTCCCACAAGAGCTGATTCAGTACAAGAACTCACAATGTCAGTTTTATCCCGTGCTCCAAACAGCTGGCTGTGCAACACGATATCCCTTTTATTACCTGGGATAAAAACAAGCACTACCGGATAGGTTTCTTTCTTAAATGTTCCTGCAGTGAACCCTTCTTATTTGCGAATCCGAGTGGGGATACTAAATATTATCCTAATAAATATTTATATATAAAAATTGAAATCAGTATGTAAAAGTGTGCGGTTTTAACAATTGCGGTAACGCTGGCAACGCATATGGCGTTGGGTTTGAGCTCCGGGCTTTGTTCCGGTAGCTCGGAGCCCGGTTCCGGCGGACGTTCGGATACATCATCTTCTCCAGGAGTTAGCGTTCCGCTTCCGGTAGCGCCAGCGCCTTTACTACCGAATCCCATGTTCGCATTACCAACTCTTAATTTTACTGTAGAACAAGTCGCGGCAGTTTGTGAAACACTGGAGGAAAGTGGTGATATTGAACGGTTAGCGCGATTTTTGTGGTCATTACCGGTTGCTCATCCGAATATTGGCGAATTGAACAAAAATGAGGCGGTGCTGAGAGCTCGAGCGATAGTTTCGTTTCATAGTGGCAATTTTAGAGAAATGTATCATATTTTAGAACATCATAAGTTTACGAAAACATCTCACGGAAAACTGCAAGCAATGTGGCTCGAGGCGCATTATCAAGAGGCGGAGAAGCTGCGAGGGAGAGCTTTAGGTCCGGTTGATAAGTATAGAGTGCGAAAAAAATTTCCCCTGCCAAGAACTATATGGGATGGTGAACAAAAGACTCATTGTTTTAAAGAGAGAACTAGAAGCCTTTTAAGAGAGTGGTATTTACAAGATCCTTATCCGAATCCAACTAAAAAACGGGAGCTGGCGCAAGCGACGGGTTTAACGCCGACACAGGTGGGCAATTGGTTTAAAAATCGAAGACAGCGAGATCGTGCAGCCGCCGCTAAAAACAGGTTAGTCACTAATTTATTGCTTTTTGACAAATCATTTATCAATATGCGGAATCGGTTATATAATAAGCAATTTATGGAACTAACTATAACCGCCTTCTCTCTTATTCGCAAACATTTCTCGTTGCACTTGCCATACTTTACACAAGAGAAAAGTAGGTACCTAATTTAGCGGTGCACATGCAATTTTTTCTTCATTTAATTGCCAGATTATATATATATTCAAACTGTAATACTGCAGTACAAATTATTTTGGTGGCATTTCCACTAATTCTATATTATTTCAACTTTTCTTTAGACCGAAATTGCCCAAGTTTCCAAACGTTCTACCTATAAAACCATAGTAACATCAAGATTTAATATTATCATAATTATAGATTCGGCTTGAAAAATAATATGCGTGCCGTAGGCATTTTGGAAAGTAAAAGCAAATACACATAACATTTGTGCGGGAATTTTCCAAGTAATTAACCCCATTGTGAGGGTTGTATATGATTTCCTAAATGAATGCGGAAAATCCAGATGTGAAAGGGTTTATTTCGTCCTGCACTAAATGGATTTTCTGTTTTTGAATGCGAAAAAATAAACATTTTCAATTGTAACGGCGGAAAAATTTTAGCGTTATACAAAACAATTTTTTTCGTCGCCATGTTTACAAGAAACGGTTGCAAAGGACACTTCAGGATGTTTATACCTATGCACTTGAAAGTCTGTCATTTCCCTGTTTAACTTCAGCATATGCATAGGTATTAGAATAAAGACGTCAAGTGTTTATAACTTTGTACAATTTCAATCTGTAAGGTTTGCTTGAAAGGTATTTACCTACCTACTGATGGCTTCAAAAATTACAAACATTGTAATTATATATATAAATATCATAGAAGGCAACTAATGAATGAATTTTGGTGAATGGAAGTTTACGTGCAGCGTAGGTAATTAGGGATTTTCCATTAAGTATAAGAAAACGAGTAGGTAATTACCTATAGATAATATACCTATATTAATCCTTTTGTTTGTACAGGAAATTATATGAATGGGCTATTATAGTTGTATACCTCATCGAATTAAATCTATACTTACGCGTGCTCTTAAAATTATGGAAATTATGCAAATATTGTCTTAATCTCTTCCTTTTAAAATCAAAATCTATTTATGAATAAATGCAACGTCCGATTACCTACTTATGGTAAAGCGAACAAAAGGTTTTTATTTTTAAAAGAAATTAGTTAACATGACAAAATTAATGGCATTCTTCTTGCAATCAAGGTATGTCTACACTATGCGGGAGCATTAGTAGGTTCATGGTATACCTAGTGGGTTAATATAGCTCCAGGCGTGTGAAAGACAACAAAGTGCAATTTCCTTGATAATAACCAAAATTGCGGAAAAGCAATAAAATGAAATTATAGTCGTATTGAAATTGGCTATAGAAATTACGCGGCCATAATTACTTTAGCTCCTCTGCTGCATTATTATTTTTTAATGTTCATTGTAAGGTACAATTGGGCCAGTAGGTATGGGATTAGTTTCATTCAATGTATAAGGCTTATCTTATTTTATTAAGATAATTGGGTGCACCGATAATTGTACCTATCTAGTGAGGTCGGGAGCTGAGAGGTTTTTTTAAATTAAAAAATACATACGTACTAAACTCTAAATGAGTAAGTATAGGTACGTACCTACATTATGCAGTCGTTCGCCCGTCGGCAGCATGATGTTTTTCATGCACTGATATACAGTGTGAGTGTAACGTATGGAACTATCGCAATAAATCTTTAGTAAACGTTTTGAAAGAAAAAACTTAAATGAGATATTATACTGTAATCGTCACTTAACGATCGTCTTTTGTTTTTGAGATATTAGGTACGTAAGCTCGTACGTAAGCGATACTTTTTTAGCCCTGAAAGAGCAAAATACCTATATACGTATGATACCTACCTATACTGCAACGTTTTGAAATATTCGAGATAATTGCTATTAAATTCGCTCTTTTTCAGTAAAAGTCAGATATGGGATATTATTATTTAATTGCGAAAATCCACACAATAAAAACAGATGAACAAGCTGATGAAGAACTGTCATTATTTTACCGGCAATTGTTACATAGGTATAGCTATAAGTAGGTACCTACCTACTTGATTTTTTTATATAAAACTTGGAACTCTTGCAGATTGTTATTAGGTTTTTGGTTTTAAAACTTTCAAAGCAATTATCTCGAATACTTCAAAATACAGTATCATATGTTTTTAGCGTAGGTATTGGGTTTTAGAATTTCATACTTTTTCCAAATTCAGCATAAAAAATAGGGTTTCCAGAAATGATTCCTTACGTCATATTACAAAAACAAAAGACGATGCTTAAGTGTCAACTGCAGTCTCATTTAAGATAAAAACAGACATGTTTGAGGATTTTTTCAAAAAAGCTTACTAAAAGATTAATTTTGATTACACTCGCACTGTATAATAAATTCTTATTAATATATATCTACATTAAACCGTTATACCGTTGAGTCAACGGTTATATAATCTTTTACTTGGGAATGGGGAATGCAATCCCGCAGCAAAATCTCAATCCCGGTATATTTGCGGGATTGTTAGATGTTAATCTCGCGGGATCCTAAATTGGCAAATAAGCAATTCGCTGTGCGGTTAACTTCTGTACTAAAATAAATAGCTAATTATCACAATATTTAACAAAAAAGTACGTTCAGCCTAACTCACCTGTAAAGAACACAAAGGTGAACTTCTAAAGTGCCTCAAAAATCATAGTACATTTTTAACGAAAAAAGTTTAACAATTATTTAAAAAATAACTTCTCCGTTATGCGTTTCATTAACAAAGTAAACAGAGTCGTCCCCTTGGTCGACAAATTCCTCAGTCCCGCAAATCCCGCGGGATCCCGCTCCATTTATGTGTGGGATTAATCCCGCAAAAATGCTGCGGGATCCCGGTATTTCGGGATCCTGTGATCCCGTTATTGCATTCCCTACTTGGGAATAGGTATATCACGGGAAAAGGTTTTAGGTTTTTACTGATATGGGCTTTTTTTAATTACCAATTATATGTTCACTGTGAGCATTTAGCTTAAAGAAATTATTGTACGTATATACAGGGTGGTGCCTAGCGCGACGCAGCATAGGGATTTCAATGGTAATTTCTTTATAGTCAGTTACTAGCTCCCCTAATTATTTGCCTTGGAATTACCTAAAAAACAGCGATAACTTTTCATTATTTGCCTTTGACATAGGTATTAAATTTATACTTGTTTAAAATTGTGTATCATGTATTTAACTAAACTGAAGGGAAAGAGGAAATGTTAAAGTTGTTTTATGCCCACCAAGTAATAACGTCTTTATTTACTGTGAAGGACCCCAATCGACCGATTCCATCAAGCAGTATACTACAGTAGACAGAATTGTGCGCAAGTTTCAAAGAACAGTACAGTGTTAAATCACTGCAAGTGCAATAACGTTCAAAATGTCCGTCAAAACCATCAGGAAAACGACAATACATTCAACGTTTTGGCTGTAGTAGCGGAAAATCCGAAAATAAGTTAAAGAACAATTCTTCCTCAAATCAATTTCTTTTTCTTCGATTATGTACTCTGGTTCCGGAAGATGATAAACAAGTATCTGATGCAGATGCACCATTACATTCTCTAAAAAAAACATTACCCCATAGACGCTTTTTCTGGCGTCGGTTATTTGAAACAGAATTAAATATGAAAATCGTTCGACATCAAACAACGATAACTTAGATGCGATGCGCTTGTAATTTGTTAAAATATTCCTAAGCATCACTGATTTATAAAAATGTAATTTTTTATTTTGCGGATTTCTACGGTTTTGAAAAACGGAAAATTATAAGTAATCGTATGAACAGATGCAGTATTTTTTTCTCTGAAAAAAACGTATTTAGACTTTTGCTCTAAAATAATTAGGGGAGCTAGTAATTGGCTATAAAGAAATTACCATTGAAATCCCTATGCTGCGTCGCGCTAGGCACCACCCGGTATATGCATACATATATAAATGTCTAGAAATATACAAGTCAATTATTTTTGTCTACGTACGTACAGGGGCGCCATTTCACCTTAACGTTGGGTGGGTCCAGCGCTAAGCAATGCGATTAAGTGAATGTTTTGACTACTATAGTGTATGTACCGTGTGTCCTATTTTGGTTGAGACTGTAGTGTATCTCAGTTGTTTTTAATGATAGAGACTTATGGTTTTCGCAACCCTGTGCCACTTTTTTGTGAAACTACCACAAACAGAATCAATCGAGCTACGTTTGTTTCTGAGATATAGGGTGAAAACGGAAAGTTTGACTTTTTGGGATGTTAGGTATCGTATTTTACTACCCATGTAAGATTGAAAAACGGTAAAAACTTATTATTTTATATATTTATACGTAGAATCCAGTGACGTAGTAAAAAAACATTTTTTTGCCCACTCTGAGATTTGACATAAAAGTTGCTATTTTTTTAATGCAACACCCTGTATATCTTAACGCAAACGTTTTCCATTATTTTTGATGATTACATTGCTGTATCGCAACCTATATTTTTTTTACATTTTAACCATGAACCAAAAATAAAAACTTTATTTTTTACAGTTTTTAAATGGTAGGCTATGGATTTATAGAGATTTTATTTTGTTTATTGTATCCATGCCAGCCGATACCAATCAATAAAAATGACTGGTGATAGCAATATGCCATTTTAAAATTTTGAAAAATATGATAAAATTATGCATACTTATACAAAAAATATAGGTTGTGATACATCAATGTCATCAGAAAAACGAATGCAAACAATTGAGGTTAAAATACATAGATAGGGTATAACAATATTGGGTCAAATCTCAGATGGATTCTAAATAAAAATATCTAAAAGAAACAGTTTATACTTTTTTTCTATTTTACATGGGTAGTACCTAAGATATATATATTTTCACCCTCTACCCCAGAAACAAACATAACTCGATTGATTCTGACTATATTAAA